GCTGCAGGATGTTTGAACAGGTATTCTTTATGGCCGCACCGTGATAGCAAATCTGCATCCCTGTTTAGTTTGCCTGGTATGTGCTCTAATTTTACTGAAAAATTCCCCTGAATCTGAATTTCGTATATCTGAGCTATAATCCTATTTATTTGAGGGTTTCTGCAAAACCCGGCATAGTAAGCTTCCATGTTAGCTAAATTATCTGTCCATATTATTAGCTTTTTTCTGGACCATAATGGTAGAAAGGTGCGAATTGCTATGAATGTCGTTAGTAGTTCACATTCCTAGATATCATGTTCGGCTATAGCATCTTGATTTGCCCATTTGAATGAAGTGAAATAGTTCTTGAACATTGCCCTGCCACCTATATTTGATGCATCTGTGTACAAGTTTTGTATGTTTGGAACTTGCCAGGTTTGGTCTTCCATTAGGTAGGTGCCAGGCCATTTTTCTATGATATTGATCCACTACTGCATGTCTGTGTTCATGGGCTTGGTTATTCTTACATGGTGTTTCTGATTTTTTACTCCTTCCTGTGCTTTGATAAACCTTTGTACGAACGGTCTTCTCTGGAGAAGCACCTGACATACCCACATTAGGGACCCAACGATCGATTGGAGGTCTCTTTTAAGACACCATGTTTTGGCAGCCCATTCTGCAAGTAATTCTTGTATCTTTTTTCTCTTTTGGGATGGAACTGACACAGACATAGTCTCTGTGTCTATCATAATTCCAAGGAATGTTATGCATGTGTTAGGGCCTTCTAACTTTGATTCCTTAAAGGGCACCTTGATTATATCTAATATCTGTAAGAATTGTTGCAGTTCTTTTTTGCCACTAGTCTTTGATATTATTAAAAAATCATCGACGTAGTGAATGATTGATCTGATTCCTTGCTGGGTGGCAATCCACGTGATTACATCTGTGAATCTGCAGAAAATGCCCCCAGATTCTCTATTCCCGAAAGCCAATACTTTATCTAAGTAAATGCTTTCGCCCAACTTCATCCCCTGCAGAACTTGATCCACCGGATGTATAGGTAATATCCGATATGCATCTTTAATATCTATTTTGGATAACATGCACCCTTTTCTGTACAAATTAATCCACCTTATTGCATAACTCACGTTTTCGTATTTGGTTGCGAATTCACTGGGGTCAATGCCGTTATTAATGCTTGCACCGAATGGTGCTGATAAGTGAGATATCACTTGGAACACTTTGGGTTTGTCACCTTTTTTTCGACTAAACCACAAGGGTTCACTTGATAAAGGTCACATAGAGGTTCCTCTTCTGAAAATAGACCACATATGCCGCCTTTCTCTGCTTCTTCTTGAATGTATTTTAAAAATGCCGTTTGGTCCAATTCAATTGATTTTAAGTTTTCTTGGATTCTTTTTACCCTTGCCCTGAAAAATTAAATCTGAAACCCTTCGTGATCCCTTGTATTAGGTATTCTATAAAAAGGCAATTAGGGTGGTGGTTTGTGAGTGTTCTAAATGCTTGTACGTCTATCGTTGTTCTCACATTGAATTTGTTGGGGCTAATCTGGGAAAGGATTTTTGATTCTTCTGCTGTAAAAGGAACATGTCGTGGAGGAATGCTATGCAATGTCTCATTTACTGACTAGAGAACTGGTGGGTTACATGTTGTTAAGTTTCGTGATAGTCTATACTGAGCCACGTGACGAACCTCCGGACTATACCTATTGTCTGAATACGTTATTGCCTTGGTTAGTTTCTGACTCTTTTTTTTTTTTTTTTTATATGTATAATTATATGCCTCTATGTAGTTGCGCTAATATTTATATGTATTGTTCTATCTGTGCTTTTATCTCCCCATAATCATCGTATGCATGTATTTGTTTACTGTTCTCTTCTTTTTTTTTTTTTTTTTTTTAATTATCATTTAACTCATCACGCTTCTGACTGCTTATTCTGTCTGGGTCTCAGGTTGTTGCTATTGCTATTTGCAAAACATCTTCGCTCCTGATGACCCATCTTTTTACAAGATAAACATGCATGCACTCTCCCGCATCTTTTGTCATCGCTGCAGTTTCTCCTGTTCCAGTTTATGCAAATCTCACGACTATCGTGCCAAGTTGCGTCATTTTTTGAGGGCATGATTTGTTGAATTTTTGCCTTTTAGTGGTCGTCACATCAAAGTTGTCCTCTTCGGCTTCTATATTTCTATCGATCAGTGTAGTATCCCGATCCATTGCTAGTTCGAGTCGATGATCTTCATCGTATGCCATTACAGCAGCAAATTCGTACCATACACACATATTGCTTATATGATCTCAGTAAAAATTTAACTTTTGTTCCCTTTCGTCATAAATTATAAGAACTGCCTCGATATATGCTCTAAATGCTAGTAGCCATTCAGATATATCGTTGAATCTGTTATACGTTGGTCGTTTCCTGACAGCTATATAACCACCTTCCGAAGCTTGCAGAGGTATGTCATTGTGATGATATTTCGCACTTGCTTTTATATTTTTATAAGTGAATTCTGGGAGTTCGATATAAGCTCCAAGTGCTATTTGATTTCCATAACCTTGATGACAAGTTGGGTTTGCAAGATAACATTTCAATTTTTTTTTGTCCTTCAGACCAATTGGAAATTCACCACAACCTTTTACTCTCGATATTGGCTGCTAATGGGTTTGTGAACCCTTGGACTGTTGAAAGCTGTTTCAATGTTGAATAATTTATTAACAAATATTTTCGTATTTTGTTTTTTGTTACTGGAGATTCATTGTTTATGTGTACTGTTGCGACTGGTGATCCTGTGTTGATTATCATATTGTTAAGCAAAGGAGTAGGTGGGTAGTTACCTTGTAGGATATCGTCCCTTGCTTCCGGTGGTGAATATATTGTTATCGGTGTCGTGTGGTTGTTGTTTTCTTCTTCAGCTGCATGATTACTGTTCGGTTCTGATCCGTCATTCATCAAGCCAACTTGCTCTAGTTTATTGAACCACTCATTCATAGTATTTTGAATTCGTTCATTCCATTGCCTTTGGTTTTCGGCTTGTTGACTTATCAGTTCCTTTACCTTTTCTATTAGTGTAGATACTGTTACTTGGCATGCACTGTCTATGTATTCTTTTATCTGTGGGTCCATGCTTGACGACGAATTTCTGGGTTCATTAGACTTTTTTTTTTTTTTTTTCGAGAAGTCTGATCGATCAAATTTGACACCGGGGTAATCCAGTATTTGGCGCCGTGGTTTTATCAAGAGCTTCCCATTCTTCTTTCAGATTCTATTTTTGGGGCTTATATTGCTCATATGTCATTATCATATGAAGCAGCATCTTCGCATATGATTCCCCCTTTCAATCAGCTTCTTGTTTCGGCATTGGCCTCTCGTGAGTAATCCTGCGGATCGTGGCGTGGGTGTACCGCCTCACTTTTCGATCACGTGATCCGTTATCACTCCGCAATAGTGCAGTAGTGCTATGTAATGCAATATTGTGAAGTTTAAGTGCAGAATTTCACGTTTCATTGTTGTCCAATCATTTTGCGGGCGCACATCACTAAAAATGTCATAGATGTAATATTACATATCACTCCGTTCCTGGTATTTATGAACGATTTTCTGTTTAATTTCATGCTGAATTTGAGCATACAGAACATTCATTAAGTCAAATATTTAAACTATTAGAATTTTATTTTTATCACAAAGTTATAATACTATGCAAGTATAAAGAGCGCTTATTAATCTAAATATTTAGAATAAGCTTTTTAATACAAAGGCATAAAAAACATTTATTAATCTTAAGTATTCAATTAAGATATTCAAGTCCACGAACATTTGCTATTTAATTTTATTTTATTCACGTTAATTTATCATGTGAATACGTATAAAGACCTATGTTTATTAAACTAGGTATTTAAAATAAACTATCTGACTTAATCGATCTTAAAGAGCTTAAATTATAGAAAAAAGATTGCATCGATGATTAGCAGATACATGGATCAAAAAAGGATCATGTAAAAGATTACATATATGTACGAGTAATATGGATAATATTTTTTTTCTCCCCACTGGACATCTCTGGGCCTTCCACTGATAAAAAAACTTACTGGAACGGTCTAGTGACAATTAACCACTGGAATGTTTATATCTTCCAATTCGGTCCAGTTAGTTCCAGTAATCCTTCCAGTAATCCTTCCAGTAAGTGTTAAAAGTTCTGCACAGATATGCTGTGCAAAAAATTTGAAACGGTCTGGCAACAACACTGTTTATTGTAATATTTGAGCATAAACATAATCATAAGTTAATCACGTCGAGGGAGATATGTTGTTACAAAAATTTTGTGTTCGAATTTTCTTTGTAATGGTTTTTTTATTGTATTAGTATTCCTTACTATATTTGTTAGTACTATTGTATCCATGGATCTTGGTCCAAGACCACTGATATTGGTCTGAGACCATAGATCTTGGTCCAAGACCACCGATATTGGTTTGAGACCCAAGATTTTGGTCTCGGACCACTAGAATTTGAAAAGTATAAATGCAACTAATAAAGAATAATTAATTCTTTTTTGCTCCGAAATAACTAAATAAATAAATACATTCCTTAATAACTCACTATCATTAATTCCGAATCATTTGACCTCATGTTAGCCAAGTCTCTCCCACGGTTACAACGACGTGAAACAATTCAATATACTACTACTTGTACTATTGGTCTTCAACGCTCCACTGATTAATTACCAAGATTTGACCGATACTACATATTTTGATTTACATAGTTGACTCAACGCGTCAGCCAATCGTGCATTATTTGTTGTCACATGACAACAATACGTTATCGTTATAATATAATAATGATAAGTATAGATGTTTATTTTTTTTTTTTAATTAATAAAAAAAAAAGTATTTACATTTTGATAATATATTTTTTTTTCCTGAAAACTCTCCATAATAATTTAACCCTTTCTAAAAATTAAATAAATAAATAAAAAATGATACATTTTCGAATACTTTGATAACTTCATTCATTTGTAATAGGTAGTGGATTCAAATATTTTCCGTGTAATGGAGCCAATTGAGGTAATTTTTTAGAGTTTCTATAAAGTACCCATTCATCCCATCTTTTAAATACAATTTTTCTTGGATCAAACTTATAAAATGTTTGGTCACCGTCATGACCAGTATCTGCACCTTCGATTTTTCGTGTTGCTCCCCACGTAAAATCTAAAAAAAAAAAAGAAAAGATAATAATAATAGTGTGAATAAATATACGTAGCTTATAAATAGCATTTTAAAGAATATTGAAACATTACCATCAAAGTTCCAAAATGAATATAAAGGTAAAATAACAGTCCAAACTGGTACAGATGTTAAATAAACCAAAAACCATAGAGCATTTATCGGGCTAAGACCTGCAATTACTATCAAAAAAAGCTGAGCCAAATATGTTGCAACTGCATTGCCAACCTGTAGACCATATGGTTGACCAACTAGTAATCCAATAATAAGGTATATTGTGAATATTATAGCAAATGGTGAGGTTAAGGTTCCAAACAAATCAAGAAATGATGCGCATTGCATTGAAAAGCAAAATCTTCCTGGTAATTCTGATGATGCTACTAGTTCAAATAGGTTATGAATTGTACCGTTTATCCAACGACGACGTTGTGAAACTAATACTGAAAATGAGTTGGGAACTATAGTTTTGCAGACTGCTCCTGAGCAATACATGGTTTTTAAATGTGGAAACGCACGAAGGGTTAAAGTAGTTAAGTAACGATCCTCACCAAGGAGGAAGAGATTTTTTTGGTGTAACGTATCAACTTCATTTACGGTATAATTAATCATAATGGCATCATCGATCAGGAGTGGAATTTTATAGCCTTCTTCATTGTAAGAGTATACTTGGTACATACAGAAACATCCAGGAAGACATGTCACACATGCGAATATAGACTCGAAAGTTTTTCCAAGATGATGTGATATATAATATTCAAAGACCTATTTATGAATTATTATCAAAGTATTAACAACACAATCTCTTATTATAATATAATACAATTAATAATATATATTTTTTTTTACAAACCTGAATCATAGTGACCCAATTTTCAGTTTTATTCAAAACCTGAGTCTCACCACAAATTCCAACAATAGTTGGTTCCTGATTTATACATTCCACCAATCTACTTAAACTTTTTTCTTCAACAATAGTATCTGCATCAATCATGCTCACTATTTGAAATTGATCTACTGTCACTCCTGTTAACTTTCTAATTTTCTCAAACATTTCGAATTCTAATTCACACATTCCCGTATTGTGAAATGCATGTTTCAACAAATTCATTAATATCAATTGTGTATCACGTTTACCACGATTTCCAGCTTTAGGTAAATTTTTTTCTGCCGGTGTCCCACATTTTATTATAAGCATGGTAGGAATACGTCGATTTTCGTAATGATAATGTCCTGTATAAACTTGTGCCATATTGTGACGTTTAGGTCCTGGACCAATTGCTAAATAGCTTGCCGGTTTTGGAACTGTGTTATCAACAGGTACGATAAGACTTTTTAAAATATCTGGTGTAGACTCTGTTTCACCACTTCCTGTAATATTACCATCTGCAACTATGAAAAATAATTTATGCTGATCCGAGTAATCCGTTGCTGCCAATGAATCAAAACTAGCCTTTAAAGATTCCCGACCTTCACTATAACAAGGAATTGTTATTATCATATATTTTGGACTTTCTTGTTGTGTATTTGGTATAGGTATACCAAGTTTTTTTGAAAGGTACATATCATAAACAAAAGCTGATAATAATTTTAATGCTGCAAAAAATGTTGTAATAATAGTCAGTACCACGACGAGTAGTTTCGTTAATGCGCAACCATATGGAAGTCCTTCAACTCTTCCTACTAAAAAGTTATCAAAACATTTCACCACATCATCTTGAGAATTTGAATCTGATATTTCTAAAGTAGCGTCTCTTCCGATCAAATTTTCTATCCATGTTCGTGTAAAGTTTTTATCATCACCTAACCAATAATCTGTATTTGATGGATCAAGATATGATGTGAAATCATATACAAATTCGTCATAGACTAATAATTTTTTGCCACTAGAAGTTGATGATATTTCATCCCATGAAAATCCAACATAATTATTAATTGATAAAGATTCTAAAGTACGTAATGAATTTT